CGTGTTTACTTTCCAGTCTCTCTCCAGTCTCTTTTCTCATGTTGGCATCTGCTATTACATGGTGTCAGAAGACACTAAAAGTAAGAAAAAAGTAGAAGTAAATTGAAAAAAAAATGGACCAACTAAAGCCTCCAGGAAAGCTAGCATTTGAAGAAAATGGAGAAAGTGGAAGCAAGGATTTGAGCTGGACAGCATCACAAATGGCACAGACAAAACCAATAAATGGCCGCAAACAGCATTATTTCTTCAGGTAGCAGGTGAAGAAAACAGAGGAGCATTTCATATTTTTCAGTTCGGTGATGTAGCAGATAAAGAAACAAACCACAGCTCATACAGCATATGTAGATCTCAAAGAAATATGTCACAAATTTTTCCCTGGACGTTAGATGGATGGGAAAGTACAGACCAATATGTATCTGGCAGTACAACTGTGGAGAACTCTGTGAGTCACTCATTAAAGACTCCCTCATATAGTACTGCATCAGGTTCAGTGCAACTTAGGTTGTGGGAGATTAAATTACGGTAATCCTTGAAAGTGCTATGGACATATGACAAGCAGATGAAATGACTGCAAAACAATTGTGTGAACTGGAAAAAAACATATGTACATATTACAGTCTAAGTCCACCTTTACTAAGCACCCAGACACACAGTCATGGTCTGGAAGGGTGGCCTGCAACTAATAAAAGCCTGTGACCAAGAAAAGTGAAAAGAGCAATCAAAAAGGCAACTAAAGGTTATTTTAAACACACGGTATTAAGGAAGCCTACAGAAGATGTAGCAAATGCAATTGTTTTGCAAAAAAGCGCAACTCTGGAAGGGAAAAGTACCAGTACTCTTGCAGTAACTCGCGAGATCCATTCCTCAGTATGCTAAGTACTTAGCCTTCCCAAGCATGAGCGGAATGGGGATTTGCTTATTAATGATCACAAAATGATGAGTTTTTAAAAACAATACTTGGGCACAGGCCAAAGTGATACATTTTAAGGGCCGAACGTCTCAACTCAAGTATTCAGCTGATATCCTACTCAGGGGGAAAAACTGCAGGTATGTAGTGAATGCAACTTGGACTGTGAGTATGGGCAAAAGAAAACATTTCTGGAATTTCAAGTGGTAGAATTTAACTCCAAATTGGGTTTACAGATAGCGTGAAGTTTAAACTTAGTGCAGTAATTCTATATGGTGAAGGAAGAACCAGAAGGTTAAAGAAATACATTTAAAGAATATTTAAAGATTTATCTGAAGGTTAAGGGTGCTTGCCAGGTAAGCATATAATAAAGATGAACTCGCAAGTACCACATGTAATTCATGTACTTTACAAAGTTTCAGTGGCATTAAGGGACAAAATAGAAGAAAAAATTGCTCTGCAGGGAACAGCTGAAATTATTAACGAAAGTGCAAGAACCTAAAAAATGTCAATTCTATACCATAATCACCACTGCTTGGATGCTAGGGATATGAATAAAGCAATGCAAATGGAACATTTTCAATTACCTAGAGTAGAAGAACTCATTAGCAAATTAGCAAAAGTTAGTTTTCACTGATCTTAGACGCCAGTAGTGGATTCTGGCAAACACATCTGGTTAACACAATTCTAGGGTGTTCACTCAACACACCATTTGGCAGGTACACATTCACCAGAATTCTTTTTGGCATCTGTTCAGTTCCTGAAATATTCCAAAGAATGATCCAACTGGCATTTGAAGATCTGGAAGGTCTTGAATGGTATATAGATGACATACTAGTCTGGGGAAAGGCTCAAGAGAATTCTAGAGCAATATTGTGAAAGGAATCTATGAAGGCATGTCTACACTAGGGAGTTATTTTGAAATAACAAGGCAAGCACCCATACTTCCAAGCCTATTATTTCAAAATAATGGGTTTGTTATTTTGAAATAATTCCTGCTTGTGAAGAGGAATAAGCTTATTTCAAAGTAGTTATTTTGGGAGTTATTATTTCAAAACAACTGATTTTGAAATAACCTGGTAGTGTAGCCATAGCTTGACTGACTAAAGAGCAAATGTAAACGGGCTCTGATGGAGATAACATATTTGTGAGCATTCCTTGACAACAGACAGTGTAGAACCTGACAATTCAAAAACTTCTACACTAATTAAAATGACCACATCAATCAACAAGGCTGAATTGCAAAGATTTCTTGTAATAGTTATTTACCTTGGGACATTTATTCTGCACATGTTAATTAATAACAATACCTTTAAGACAACTATTGGGAAAAGAAGTCAAGTTTGCCTGTATGCCAATGTATGAGGTGGCATAAGAGCACTTGAAAGAATTGTTTATAAGCATGTTGAAGTACTTTCATGTCCTAGACTGGTTGTAATGCCAGAGGATGTGAGTTCTACTGGATTAAATGCTATTGCTTCAAAAGGAAGCCACTGCTGCTTATTGCCTCTAAAACAATTATCTAACAGAACTATGACCAAATAGAAAAAGAATGCTGGCAATTAGTATCTGGCTTCACTCGATTTTATCAGTTTATCTATGAGAAAAATGCAGCCACAGAAAGAGACCACACAGCTCCTAAGGCCATTTTCAGAGAAACAGTGCAGTGATGGTTGCTAACACTCCTGATATATCAACTGAAAGTTGGATACAGACCAGGGAGAGTGTTAGCAACTGCCGATGCTTTATCTAGTGTGTCCACGTTGCACAGTGAAAGAGTCAGTTCAGAGGAAGCTGATGTTGCAGTACATCTCATGAGGTCTTACTTGCATATTTTAGAACAGAAGTAGAAGACATTTCAGACAGCTACTGCAAATTATGTCTTGAAAACTTTAAAACAGTTTCCCAAGGATGGCCAGACAAGGGAGCTGAAGTTTCAGAGGACAATTGTGCTTATTGATTGCAGAGAGAGGAACTAAGTAAACAATATGGACTTGTCTTTAGAAATGATAGAATGGTGGTTCTGGAATAGCTCAGAAAAGAGATCTCATCTTGTACTCAAAAGAGCCATGGAAGTGGAGTTATGTAAAAGGAGAACTTTGGATGCCATCTATTGGCCAGACATATGTGGTCAAACTGAGGATGCGGTATAATCTTAAAACACATGTTGAATCTTCAGAAACAAAGATCAAAAGGAACCACTGTTACCACATGAGATCCCAATAGACTGTGGCAGAAACTTGGCATGAATCTGTTTGAATTTCAGAGTACAGATTATTTTACTTTGGTTGATTATTATTTGAAATACTTCTAAGTTTGCTTGTTTCAGGACACCACCAGGGTCTCTGTCATAGCGTACTGCAAGCCTATATTTACAAGGTATGACATACCTTGATGAGCTCATTAGTGACAACAGACCACAATTTGGCTCTAGAGACTTTAAAACTTTTGCAAAGCAATGGGACTTTATTCACAAAATGTCATGCCTGTTATTCATACAATTGAATAGAATGGCTGAGACCGCAGTAAAAACTATGAATTAGATTCTTTAAAAAATCAAGTTGGGAAAACACAGATCCCTATTGGAATACCCATGAGATTTAGGATCACCTACTCAACTCCTTGAGTATTAAGATGTTTAAAGACAAGATTGCCAACTTCATCAAAGTTATTGCAACCCAGCCAAATGCAAGGACGTATACAAACTAACCTAAAATTGAGACAAGCAAAGCAGAAATATTGTTTTGGCTCATGTACAAAGCTATAATCATAGGAAAGCAGAGACATGGTTTGCATTAGTTTAAAACAGTGTTTCTTAAACTTTTTAAGACCAAGGGAACACCAAACAATAATTGTTTTTATGAGGAACACCAACGATTTTTTGTTGAGAAAGAAAAAAAAGGTGAGGGGAAAAAGGGTTGGGGGCAAAGTTATTGAGAAAAAAAGGGTTGGGGGGAAATAACTGAGAAAGGAAAGAAAAAAGGTCACCTGCCCCTTTAAGGGTGGCCATTTTGAATTCTGTTGTTCTCCGCTGCACACCTCCGACTGCCTTGTGGCACACTGGTGTGCCACGGAACACAGTTTAAGAAACACTGGTCTAAAAGGAGCATAGAAACATGCAAAGGTGATTGACCAACACACTGCTCCCAGATTTTACTGAGAAAGAGGAAAGGATGTCTATAGAAGATACAGAAAGGATCTGATGAACAGTAAGGCTTTGTACATTGGCAATTGAGTGACAGTGCATTTTTCATTTACAAGTGTTTAAAACCTCCCTTCCCAAAAGGCAAAAGCTTTGCGACAGCACTTTGTCGGGAGGAGTACTCTCCTGCTGACAATGGCTGCTGATGGGAGGTGGAAGCATTTTTTTTTTACTTTTTTAGTGTCAACTTTCACCTCAGATACAAGCAACACCAGCTCAGTTTATTGAATGTACTGAGACTCACAGAATCAGTTCAAATACAGAAAAGACTCAAGATCATCTAATCTGAAAAGTGGGTTTTGCCCACGAAAGCTCATGATACTATATGTAGTCTAGCAGCACCTTAAAAACTAAAAAACCATGTAGATGGTATCATAAGCATACGTGGGACCAACCCATATATATTTTTGTTAGTCTCTAAAGTGCCACAGGACTACTCATTTTTAAAGTTACAGACTAACATAGCTACCCCTCTGAGTAAAGAAGTGGGGCACTGAGAATCCTGTTACTACGTCAAGACAAAGTGATAAGAAAACCTGTTAGAGACTAATTGTTCTAGATTCTTAAGGATTCAGATTAGAGTTATGGATGCTAAATTAAGTAGACACCGTTAAGTAAAAAATGTGGTGCAGTTACATTCTATGCATTTTTTAAAAGGCTGAAAATGTAATGATAATAGAAACTTTATGGGGAATGTTGTATGGAAGGAATCATTATGTAGTGAGCCTTAGCGGCAGAAGCATGTTGCTCTCACTTGGAGCTGCGCCGACAACCCAGCAACCTATCTGGACTGTTCTCTGCAACAAGTTAAGTGTTTATGGTTAATTAAGAAGTCTTGAGTTATCTTTCCTTATGTTAAAATGGCACGTTGGCAATAATTATCACACCGACCTCTGCTAGGTTCTGATAGAAGAGCATGAGAAGGAGCGCGGTCTGCAGTTTCTCCCGTCTACTCTGAGACAGATCTTTGATCCGACTCCGCCTCTCAAGTACAGAGTTCAGTTTGTGCTGGATCTGTATCCCCTCCAATCCACTATCCGTTTGTAGCCTCTTTGCCTGTTCCTGAAGAGCTGTCACCTGATAAGGAAAGAAAAATGGAATCATAGTGGTGTCCCTTAACATATGAAAGGATATGAGAGAACAGTTTCCTTTCTCTGGCTCCGTCTTAGCAGGCCTAAAAAAGATGTTACCTTCTGCTGGAAGGCTACAACACTTGGAAGAACTCAGAAAGGTAGCAAAAGCTAAAATAATATGGTATCGTAACACATCTGTTGCCACCTAGGATTTCCCATTTGCACTATGTTGCACTTCATGGCCACTTTAACTACACGGCTGCTACATGGGTTAAAGGAGAGTCTCAGTTAGTTGACAGCAGCATAGCAACTATAACACACAGCTGAACAGTTCTGCTTCAATCCCATAGAGGACAGATGATCACACACACGTGACATTTGATTATGCCATGGCATTCTGTGCTATCTAGTATATATTCTTGCTCTATAATTGTATTATTGAGGAAGGAATAGGAATATATACTATTAGCAACACATAGTATAGAACTCATTCTAAATTTCCTCAAGTAAGTCTCAGCATTCTAGTCATTGGGTGATTTTCTTCTAAGTAATAAGACAGTACAGTCAGGGTAAAACCATGGACTTCTTATTGCTTTCCTTCTACTTCTCAGCCTTCTTATTTCACTAAACTTCATTAAGACTTTCCTTGCCACTGTTCTCTATCTGGCTTCAGCACATGAGCCCAGCTAACAAGTCTGTGATTTGCTCATAAGACAAGACTCCTTCTTTGTACTTGATACAGTATTCTTTGTTTTACCTTTTCATCCTGCGAGGTCAGAATCTTCTCAAAAGCATCATGTTTCCTGATCAGCCTTTCCACCTCATCTACCGAGTTTCCCAGATCACTGGTTTTCAAATAAATCTACAAACAAAAGATGAATTAGTTTCTAGCCACATTTACTATAAGTGAAAACTGGGTTGATCTGATGCATTCTAGCACCTTTGGGGAGGAGACATTAACACCAGAATTGACAGTGTGCTCCAAAAAGACCAGATATGAATCAATTAATGGAGGAAGGGGAGGCATTGCAGAAGAAAAACTCACCAGGAAAAAATGGTAGAGCTACACATTTCTGGGCAAAGTGGAGGTGTTGAGAGAAAGGCGTGAGGAAGCTTGCATATCACCTGCATAGTTCAAGCTAGTACTATCACTCATGGCTTCAGAGAGTATTGGAAGAACTGAGGATGATACATTAGTAGAGCTGAATGAAGAATAGGGAAATGTGAAGGATTGCACTTCCCTGCAATATGTTTGTCTCCAGCCAATGTTTTTTGCTCCAGACACTGCCTAGAGTGAGATAGCAGGGACAGCTTTTGGGGAATGATCTCTACATTAGTCATTTAAAAAATTCTTTGTATGTTTGCTAAATATGCCACACGCCTCTCCAGAGCACTGAGCTGTATTTCAATGTTATCCTGGATTTGGAGAAATCAATTGCACAGAGATGTCTCCTATACCTTCTGTAACGAATGCACTTCCCCCCCCCCCAATGAAAATAAACACACTTAATCAATGTGTTGATTGGTAGGGGTGGGAGGCACTCTCCTGCAGGAAGCTTGTGACTTGCTGCATTTCCTTGGACTGAATTACTCTATAGTTCATTTTCCTTTTTACTAAGTGCAAAAAGCAGGACCAAAACTTTAATGGGTTAGATGGCTATGACAAGGCCTGGCCAGGCATTAGTGGCAAGCTTGGGGCTCACTGGGGTAGGTGCTGGACAAACATGGCTGCACAGACAGTTTCTAGTTTTGCAAAGAGGGAAAGGAAATCTGAGACCCAGGTATAATTTAAAGGCATTAAGAAGAGGGGAGGAAAAAGAACAGAATCGGAGAAACAACAGGAAGCTCCAAATCCCTGGAAGAAGCTCCATCAGGAATACTGGCAGATTGGCATTGCACAATATATATGTGCATGGAAGAAATGATGTTGGCCAGAAAGAATTTGCAAAAATTTGCAAGAGATTTCAATTCAGACCCATCTCAGTGTGTAATATGTATCAGGTCAAAGATATTCTTACACAGCTACATTGGAAAACATATGGGGAAATCACTTATCTGGCCATAAGTATCAAATCTTCCTTTTCCTCCAAGTAGCTTCTAGAGGGGAGGCTTCCCTGACCTGCTTTACATACAGTGTCAGCCAGACCTCCTGCTGATGCCGGAAGCTCTGGATACAGCTGGATCAACTGACAAAAATCAAGTCTTGGGCTCACTTTCCAATTCATTTTTTGGAAGTGAACTTGAGATAAATAATTTGCATACACAAAGAGGTGTACAGGGAAGTATTTAGCTCAATCTTGATTTATTAGCTGGGCTGCATTAATCCACTGGCTGAGGACTATAGAGCACTGGCAGCCAGATGCAAGCCCCAATTAACACAGTGGAAGGAGACTTAGCAACTTTGCTGGGCCTTGAATGAAGCGGTCACAGATCAATGCACCAAATTCTGTACCGAAACAGAGAATTGGCACAAAAGCCTCCAGTATTGTAGGAGTGGTATTATTAGTGATGATATGGTTGGAAGAAAGCAACACTAACAGCGCTAAGCACCCTACGTAAGGAGTTTGTGAGTGATGAGAAATAAAAGCTATATGAGATTTTTTAAAATGAAAATGGCAGCACTTTGCCATCAAAACATTTGTTGCAACAGTCTGAAAGCAGAATGGAAACTGGCGCTTCGCCAGTTAATTTTTTTTTTAGCAAACGGCAACTGTCTGTAATAGGTCCCTAAATTCCTATTTTCAACTGTATAGTTTTTGCCAGGTGACTAGACAGTGCCCCACAATGCATGGAAGGTGCCTAAGTGTTCTTTCAGGTTAGTTTAAGTGTTTGTATTCTGAATCACCTCTGTAAATGGAATTCAATTCTTAGGGACCAAACCCCCGCCCCCCACAAAAGCCATTGTCTAGAACAGTTGCAATGAAGCAGCCTCCTTTTTAAAATGAAACTCTGCAAAGACTCTTAAAAAGCCACAGAATGGACCTAGCCCTTCTGCGGTTTAAAAATGGAACATACTACAAACAGCCAAGTTATTAAAAATGCAAAGTACTGAAACCAATTGAGATTTTCATTCTGTTTCAAATGGAGTTTCTCTATCCTGGAGTTAACTGTAAATGGATGTAACTATATTTTCATGATCTCAGTGTAGCCCACGTTATAGGTAAGAACAGTGCTAAACACAGAGTTAGATAGGTCCATCATGTCAAAACAAATTCCTATTTTAGACCAAAAAGGCACAACATACACACTGACCTGGCAGCTCAGACCAGCTGTTTGAGAACAGGCAAATGGAACATTCTGGTTAGTAGTGTAACTATGTTGCCTGGACACAACCACCTCAAGTTCACCAGCTCATCATACAGGACCTGTTCGTGGCTGTTGCAGCTCAGAGAAAAGTTTGTGTTCCAAGAAATGTTATTTTTTCCCAGAACAAGAATTATTGCAACTCAGCACTTGGCTGAATCCTTCAGCCACTCACTTTCTGAGCTGCTTCTCCTCAAACTATGACCAGCTCCAAGTATTTGCCCACCACACCCCTCATCTTGGAACCAGTGCTGCAATGGTTCCACTCATGGACATTCAGAGGAAGGCTCTGTGATTGCTAAGTACGGCCAATGGCAGGAGTGGAAACTAACAGTTTTAGGCTCCTGAAAAGTCTTAAAGACGACAGAGAAGTTCTCTGCTAGCACAGGTGGGAGCAACTGCGGGGGTCAACTTGGTCGATAGTCTGATGAAAGTACACTAAACCCCAAAATTTAAGAGAGAAAAACAAGGTTGTATTTTTTCTTAGTAGAAGTAAATAAGGCACTTAATGCAATTCATATTTCACAATTATTTGTTTACTACACTGTATTGACTAGAAGGTACAATTACACTATGACACCTCTTTATTTTAAGTCAAGTAAGACAGACCATGTTTGTAAAAATATATACATATGTCTCACATACTAACATCACTCTGCTTTTGGCCTTATTCCTCACAAAGTACTTGAGGTGTGTTTATATTACCTATACTTATGGGTGCTCTTCCCCATTTTTCCATTTGTGTGTTGCTTTTTACATACATGAATATAAACACATGACATGATCCTTACTGACTGAAATACACATGGGAAGCACACAGAACTTAATCTCTATTCAGTTTCTAATATTTCTCTAATGCAAAAAAACAAAAATCCAGTAAGGGATAGATTTAAAAATAGAATCCTAACACTTTAACAATATCTACATTAAAATGCTTACTTATGTTACATTTTGCACAAAAACTTATCTGTGTCAACTCCTCCAGTCTTCATTAGCAAAGAGATTGTTCAGATATACAGAATTTATAGTGACAAAATTCCCTTCTTTCCTCCAGGAGAGGATGCTAAGATGCTCTCTTTCTCTATGCACTTAACTATACTAATTTTGCAGACCAAGGGGGTACTCATTAAAAAGTTAAAGCTAAAGGAATTATGCATTTAGAAATAAAGCACAATTTGACAACTTAGCAAATAAAAATTGTGATACAGAAAAATATAAGAGAAAAGACTGAGGGTATCTATAGGTTCCCACAGTAACTGGCAAGGAGAAAGGACAATTCTTAGCTCAAAGGGTTTGATCTTGAAAGGTGCTGAGCATTTAAATACACCTATACAATTAAGCACATGAACAGTTCCATTGACAGTGGTGGTGGAACTGGTCACATATTTAAAATTACATATTTAAAATGCACGTTGCTGGGTCAGCAAAGAATTCTCAGCACTTTGCAGGATTGAGCCCAATTGCACCCATTAGAACAACAAAACAAAAGCAGCACAGACAAGTCTCTTCCACTAGATAAGACATCTTTAGGGGCGTACCAGGAGGTAAGCAGGGAGGAATGCACATTGCTTGGCTTAGAAAAGTCTGTTTGCAAATGTTCCTAGAATGGAATGGATATCTTTACCACTCTCCTCCCAGCTCCAAAGGAGGCAATGTTAACAGAGATAGATGGACTCCATGCACTTCTGCCGGCTCTTGGTGGCGCATTTGCAGTGCAGGCTGGTATGTTTGTTAAGAAGATGTCAGGAGCTACAGCTCCTACAGTGCATGCTTCCTGGGAAGACCTTGAACCAGATGCTGCCCAATGTTGTTGTGAAGAGAGCAATTCTGGACAGCAAACTGGATTCACTGATAGGGAGAGGCCAGCCCCAATCCCCATGGAGTGAAAGGGTGGGCTAGGTGCATCCAGATCGTGCTGTTTGATAAAGATTGTGGGTGTTGGACTTTTTCTGAATTCTCTTACCACGTGGATAGGCACAGTAGTCCAAGGAGTTGCAAGTATCAGGGTTATTTTGGAGATCTTGTGGTGGGCTGGTGTTAGCCTATCACATTGAGTCTTCCTAAATGCTGGCTCAGATGAAGGGCGGTTCTGAAAGATAATCAGATCAGGATCTAAATCAGTGTTGGGGAGCTCACTTCCACCAACAGAACTTTCTCTTCTAGTCAGCACAGCTGGGGATAGCCATATTTCTCGGGAGACTGCTTGCTGGGGAAGGTCCGGGCACTCAGCAGAGGAAGTCACATGAAATCTTGTAATTTGAAGAGCTGGAGACTCAGATGAGGAAAAACCTTGCTTGAGCATCTGGGATCCCATTGGGAGACCAGCAGATGTACCAGACACCTTCTCCAGTGGTGGCACAAGGAGGCTGGAATGAGCATGGTTGCTCACTTGGGTATCAGTTCTAAAAGGCTTTATTGCCAAGCTGCAGGTTGAAATGTAGAGTTTCACTGAAGCATGGAGATCTGGGATTGGAACACTGCACTGACTGTAGCCACACTGGGGTGGGGCTGAACTACACGATGCCAGAGTTGCGTGTATCTTTTTGCCATCGAGCGGTG